TTTTTCTAAGCCATGGCTTAGTTGATGTTAGCCGTTTTCCATACCATACCATTACTTCCATTAAACTTCAGTCAATCAAATTACAAGTTTTTCAATTTATCAAAGAAATCTGTCTCGAAAAGAACTCTAAAATCAATTCGCTTTATTTTTAGAATAGATTTTCAGCAAATTTCAGCAAATTTCAGCAAATTTCAGCAATTTTCAGCAAATTTCAGCAAATTTCAGCAAATTTCAGCAAATTCAGTAAACTTTAAATCATTTTTTGGATATTCAGTCTATTCTCAAGAAGAAAGGAAAGCGATGGGGCGGACGGGGAATTTTCCATTAGTTTTCCGGCTGTCAAGTGCAGATTTTGTCTGCTCTTCAAACCGAGCCGTCTCTCACACCGCAGAAAAAAAAATCCCTCAGAGATCCGAGTTGTGGTTTCGCTTTTAAAGATATTTAGTTATATCTTTAGATATATTTAGTTGAAAATGCTTTAAAGATAAAATTTCCTTTGTTTTATTCAAAGCTTTCCATTTCCGAAGCTTCAAAATTTCGGGTCATTGACACTTTCTTTCATTTGTTAGTTAGGTCAGCTTAGCTCTCGGGCTAGTTTGTAACTAATGGCTCAAGTCAAGGAGGACAAATAGGTGCTTTAAAGGGAGCTCTCGGGCTGGTTTGAAACTTTTCTAAGTCAAAGAAGCCACTATTTCCTTAGTCTAGGGGGAAATCAAGCTAAACTCAGCTCTCGTTGTTGTATTAAATCGAATAACATTTTTTCTGCAATCGAATAACATTTTAGATTAAGTCTAGCTTGGAGTTAGGTTACGGAACAAGTTAGATCAGCTTAGCTCTCGGGCTAGTTTGAAACTGATGGTTCAAGTCAAGAAGAACAAATATATACCCTAGCTTGACCTCTTGGCCTTGACCAGGTCAGGCCAGGCTGCAGGCAAGGCCAGGCCAGGCTTTTCACACTTGCGCATCCCCCTTACGGGTTCCAAAATTTGTTCGAAACGCTTTCACCAGGTTTCGGGATTAATGCTAACCTCAAACTTGGGTAATTAAACCGAGATGGAGAGTCTCTGTCGAGGTATCCGTGGAAGCCGTGTGCCAGATGGAGCTTTTTTTTACGAGACACACAAAAGGTGCACACAGTCACCCGTCTCTTTGGTGATCGCTTTTTTCCCTATTTGAAAGGTTTCGGGATTAATGCTAACCTCAAACTTGGGTAATTAAACCGGGTTGAGGGGTCTCTGTCGCTCTATGTGTGGAGACCGTGTGCCAGATGGAGCTTTTTCCTACGAGACACACAAAAGGTGCACACAGCGTCCCGTCTCTGGTGATCTCTGTCTTTCAATATTTGAATTGTCTTCCATCTCGTAACACTGGCTTATGACCATCCCCGTTGAAGAGATCCCGTCCGATCTGCCAAGTTAAGCAACCGGCACTCGAATGGGGGGGGGGCACTCGAAATGTCTACTGGTCCCCATAAATATTGAACACCCTGTGTTAAGTGGGCAAGAAAGTCCTAATCCTTTTTGTTCAACGTTTTCTTTCTAAAGCTCTGAAAGCCTAAATCCCATTGAATCCAATAAAATCCCATTGAAGAAAGCAGTTTTTAGATCAATTTCTTGGTTTGCAGTGACGTATAGACCCAATATTGTGAATAAATGATCCCAAAAACCTTTGAGTCAACACGTTTTTGTCCCAATTATCACAAGATCCGATTTCAGTGTTGGCGTACTTGAAAATTAGAGTTTTTGTGTTAAAAGTTTCACAAAACTTTCTCAGAAATCGAAAGGGAAACTTTGTTTTTGCTGGATTTTCTTTTAAAAGATTTCTTTTTAGTTTTTCCCACTCTTTGCCGCTAATTTAGGCGATAGATTTGCCAAAAATGGCTACAAATGAGGGAATTTTGAGCGATTTTCACACAAATTCACTTGTTACTCCTCGCTTTTTCGGTGCAATTAGGGCAAAGATTCATTTTCAAGGGTTTTCTCGATTATATCTTTTCTTTTTAATTATTATTTCTCTAGAATTATATCTATTATATCTATTATATCTATCAGATCTATTATATCTATTATATCTATTAGATCTATTAGATCTATTAGATCTTGGCTAAACGTGAAGTAAAGCAGAAATTAAGCGCCCAGCGATTCTCCATAAATTGCAGAAACTCACGATTAACGTCACCAGAAACATCACGTGGAAAAGTGATTCTCACGACTTTGCACACTTGGATCGCATTATACATTGAGAGAAGCAAGCGAGTGACGCTTGAATCTCTATTGAATTGGAAGCCTACGTGTTTCAAAATCTTATTAAGCCTTATTAAGCGGCATTAAGCGGCATTAAGCGGCATTAAGCGGCATTAAGCGGCATTAAGCGGCATTAAGCGGCATTAAGCGGCATTAAGCGGCATTAAGCGGCATTAAGCGGCATTAAGCGGCATTAAGCGGCATTAAGCGGCATTAAGCGGCATTAAGCGGCATTAAGCGGCATTAAGCGGCACTTCTGGACATCAAATTTTGCGGAACTCATCTTGTTTTCATCCGTACAGCGTATTTTCGAAACGGCGTAATGTGCGAGCTTTCGAAAAAGTCGCCCGTGAAGGGGATTCACTCGGACGGCCACACCTGTTCCGGACAAGACCTCATCGCTCAAGGAAGAATGAAAAAAATAGCTGCTTGTGTGGTACTGCGATGTAATATATGAATGCGAAATGATCGATGTTTCCTAGACAAAAAAAGGAAAATGCCGCTCAAAATTCATCATGAATTCAAACAAAAATGAGCAGATCTATTGAAAAGGAATAAATAAAGAAAGCCGAAGCGAATAAAGACAAGAATAAAGAAAGCTAATAAAGAAAGCGAAGAAAGACAGCGAATAAAGACAGCAAAAGCGATAGAAAGGCTTAAGAGTAAAGTATTAGTGAGTAAAGTTTCGACTTTAAATGTGTTTTGCCAAATAAATGATCAAGTTTTCTCGCGCTATCAAGTTGATTTAAAATCCTAACAGTTTGATCTACCAAAACTTTTATTGTATCTAACTTTTATAGTACCTAACTTTTATTCTACCTAACCTTTATAGTACCTAACTTTTATTCTACCTAACCTTTATAGTACCTAACTTTTATTCTACCTAACCTTTATAGTACCTAACTTTTATTCTACCTAACCTTTATAGTACCTAACTTTTATTCTACCTAACCTTTATAGTACCTAACTTTTATTCTACCTAACCTTTATAGTACCTAACTTTTATTCTACCTAACCTTTATTCTACCTAACCTTTATAGTACCTAACTTTTATAGTACCTAACTTTTATTCTACCTAACCTTTATAGTACCTAACTTTTATAGTACCTAGCTTTTATAGTACCTAACTTTTATTCTACCTAACTTTTATTCTACCTAACCTTTATAGTACCTAACTTTTATAGTACCTAACTTTTATTATACCTAGCCTTTATTCTACCTAACTTTTATTCTACCTAACCTTTATTCTACCTAACCTTTATTCTACCTAACTATCTAGTTTTATCTAATTCATCCTTTCTTCCTTCGTTTGAATCGATTTTTCAAAAAAGATTTCCATTCAAATGAGCTTGTGTAGAATAAGAAAAATGCATTATCGCAAATCTAGAATTTCTTTTATTGGGTTGGTGAATTGAAAACTGCGGGCTATTGTCATTGAGTACAGTTTCGGACAGTTCCCGAAAGCCCACATCATCAAGCTAATCAAGCTAATGTACACTACTGGACAATGAAATATCATATTTGAAAAAAGATCGTCACTTTCGCGCGTCTGTAACTCCCTTGTCTTTACCGTATCTCTAAATATTAATATTACCATTGTGTAGCCCTTGAAAAGAGCTTTCAGAAAATGTATAACACTAATAGTTTAAACTCAAAGACAAGGGAGTTACAAACGCGCGAAAGTGCGAAAGTGTTTTTTCAAATATCATATTTCATTGTCCAGTCACTGTATTTCAGTAAGTTATAGCTTTTAAAGTATATTTAAAGTTCAAAATCCGTCTCCACAGAAATGCGAAATTTACGAATTTTCACAAAACTGGCAACAAAACTTGCATTTTAAGCGAAACTACTAAGTGGATCTTTTTGGAAATTTGGCTATAAGCCTAATTTTTGATTCTCTACAACTTTTCTATTGACACCAAAATGGGTTTCTTTTGAAGAAAGTGCTCAAACTGGGACATCTCCAGTCTCCATCTCCAGTCCTCGATTTTTGAGTCTCACACTTGTCTCACACACAAACCAAAATCCTACTACGAAAGAGGAATCCGCAAATTGCCTGTAAAATGGGCAGAAGTCGTCAATAATAATGGAAATTATTTGGAATGAATTCATGGTTTTATGTTGAATAAATTTTAGTTCAAAGTCCCGCAGTTTTCAATTCACCAACCCAATACTTTGATTTCTTTTAATCTCGATCTTGGTGATCACCTTTTGATCACTTTAAAACTATCAAGTTCAACTTGTCGCGTTCATAAAACTTTCTTCTTATGACTTTAAAACTTTTTTGATCCATCAAACTTGTACATAGAATAGAATTCATCAAACTTTTGACCACTTGAAGGAGTCAACAAAGAAGAACTAGCTCTTTGTTGTTGACTTTAAAACATGAAACAAGCGCTGAACATTCATAAAAACTGTTAAGCAATATAAAAACTAGATAAAAAAGGCTGGTTAATAGGGTTTAATGTGAGAGGGATATCTCAAGATGATGTTGTTATTGAGTCATCGTTTAACGCGTGACGGTGAGTGATCGATGATGAGTGACCAAACGCTGTTCGCTTTGATTGATAGCTTCGATCGTTTGATCTCTTCGATCGCTTAGATCGCTTCAATCGTTTGATAGCTTCGATCGTTTGATCTCTTCAATCGTTTGATCTCTTCGATCGCTTAGATCGCTTCGATTCGCCTAATCCTTCATTTTTGTTTTTCATTCCTACCTAGATTTAAAGCAAATCATTGAACTTTAGAAGAAAAAAGATGACATTAGTGGAGTTGGTGTGCAAATATCGAGGGAATCGAAAGATTCTCCTGCTCATTGTTTACATCGCTCTTTTCCTCGACAATATGCTCCTAACGACCGTCGGTGAGTCGACACAAAGGACGGGGGAATTGCATTGAAGAGGAATTGCAGAGGAATTGCAGAGGAATTGCATTGAACAAGAATTGCAGAGGATTGCATTGAATGCAAAAAGAGGGATTGCATTGATTGCATGCATTGAAGCAAAAAGCAGAAGCAAAAAAATTGAAAACTCAAATCAATTTGAGAAATCTTAAGCGATAATTTTCGAATTCGGGATTATAAAACGAATTTTTTTACTATTGGGTTGATGGAAAAGTCCTTTCCGATTTTTAGTACCTTCAATTTGTCGAATTTTGACGTTTTATAGCTCATCCTAAAGCTGAATTCAAGACGGATCGATTGGTAAAAACCGTTTTGAGATTTCTCTTTTCTAAAGGTTTTTACAGCTATCTTAGTAAAGGGCGGCCGAGCCAAAAAATGGCTGTTTTCACGTTTCGTTAGTTTTCCGTGCAGAAACCTAGGCTAAAAACATGTGTTTCGTGATCAGCGCGTGATTTTGTACCCTAAAATTTACCATAATAACAAAAAAAAACGAGAAAAACGAAGGAAAATCGCGAAAAGCGGTGGAAAGGCTATTGATCTGAGGGTCGCTGGTTCGACTTCCACCGGTGACAATATTTTTCAAAAATTTTTTGCTAAGATTCTGAAAATGCGTGTCTAGGGGTTATTTTTGACGCTGATCACGAAACACATGTTTTTAGCCTAGGTTTCTGCACGGAAAACTAACGAAACGTGAAAACAGCCATTTTTTGGCTCTTCCGCCCTTTACTAAAATAGCTGTAAAAACTTTTAGAAAAGAGAAATCTCAAAACGGTTTTTACCAATCGATCCGTCTTGAATTCAGCTTTAGGATGAGCTATAAAACGTCTAAATTCGACAAATTGAAGGTACTAAAAATCGGAAAGGACTTTTCCATCAACCCAATAGTAAAAAAAACCAAATTTCAAATTATTTCAAAATTTCTTCAAATTCCAGCAAATTCAAATTATTTAATTGAATTAATGAAATTAATTAGACTTAAGTTTAGATTAATTCATTTAAAAACAATGAAAACAAATAATTTTAGTGCCGATTATCCCCGAGTATCTTCTCCGATTATCGCATCCAAATGAGACGGATCTCTTGCTGTACAATGTTCAAGTTTGTTGTGCACTAATTCTTAAGCTCAGCTCTTTAAGTCCAGCTCTTTAAGTCCAGCTCTTTAAGCTCAGCTCTTTAAGTCCAGCTCTTTAAGCTCAGCTCTTTAAGCTCAGCTTTTTCAGGCCAGCTTTTTAAGGCCAGCTTTTTAAGCCCAGCTTTTAAGCCCAGCTTTTAAGGCCAGCTTTTAAAGCCAGCTTTTTAAGGCCAGCTTTTTAAGGCCAGCTTTTTAAGCTCAGCTTTTAAGCCAGCTTTTTAAGGCTAGCTTTTTAAGGCCACCTTTTTAAGCCCAGCTTTTAAGCCAGCTTTTTAAGGCCAGTTCTTTAAGCCCAGCTCTTTAAGCCCAGCTTTTTAAGCTCAGCTTTTTAAGCCCGGCTTTTTAAGGCCAGCTTTTTAAGTCCAGCTTTTAAGGCCAGCTTTTTAAGCCCATCTTTAAGCCCAGCTCTTTAAGCCCACCTTTTTAAGCTAAGATTTAAAAATAAAGTAAAAGATATAAAAAGAAAAGCCAAAAAGAAAGAAAAGCCAAAAAGAAAGAAAAGCTAAAAAGAAAGAAAAGTCAAAAAAGAAAGAAAAGCCAAAGAGAAAGAAATGAAATGTTTTAAAAGCTTTAATTTCAGAGTAATGATGTCTCGGACAACATTCGAGGCAAGCGACAAGTCTGGAATGAAGATCAGGTGCGACTTTCTATTATGTTTCTCAAATTATCTACAAATCGTAGAATTTTTTAATAATAACCAAATGATGATTGATTATCTAAGGATAAGTTTAAAAGGTTGTTTAAAGGATTGGGATATTCCGATGGAGGATCGTGATCGGGACATTGATTGGGAGGAGAGCCCGCTTGCATCGAAGGCGAAAAGTCGAAAGCCAAGCAGCAAGCAGAAAACAAAGGTGAGAAAGGGGGGAAGTTTAAAAGAAGTATAAAAGGAAGTGCAAAAGCGCAAAAGGAAGTCCAAAAGAGTAAAAGGAAGTCCAAAAGAGTAAAGGGAAGTGCAAAAAGTGTAAAAGGAAGTGCAAAAAGTGTAAAACAAGTGCCAAATCCGCTTAGAAATAGATTTTTGAACTTTCTGAAAGCCACAAGGACACTGGTTTTGCTCTGACATTGGTTTTGCTCTGGGATTGGCTTTGCTCGGAGATTGGCTTTACTCTGAGATTGTCTTTGCTCGGAGATTGGCTTTGCTCTGAGATTGGCTTTGCTCGGAGATCGGCTTTGCTCTGATATTGGCTTTGCTCTGAGATTGGCTTTGTTCTGAGATTGGATTTGCTTTGACATTGATTTTACTATAAAAGATCTATTTACTTGTGAATCTACAAGCTATCAAGCTACAGTTAAACCACTAAACAAAGATTTGTGGAAATTTATGAAGACTTGGCGACTATTGATTGCAAAGAAAACTGGCAAGACATTTGGCTAAGTGAAAAACTCTGGCTGAAGTGAAAAACTACAGATTGAAGTTTCAATTCAACTTCTTTTTAGCAATTAAATTATAAAATGTTTAATAGTAAAGTTTAGAGTCGCTCACGAACAAAGTCGAAAAGTAAGAGTCCTAATCGAGAGCTGGACAAGGAACGAGCGCCACCGGAAGAGGGTGAGTGATTAAAGTATCGTTTCCGTGTCTGAAAAGCGGTTTTTAAGGTCTATGTTTCATCTTTAAAGCTCCTTGCAAAACTTTGCACGCGTAAAACTTTTGACAGAGTGCTCGATAGCAGAAACGAAAAGCAGATTCGGAATCAGCGTAAAATTCTGCGTCGAATAATATATGGCTCATGTAATTTGGGCAGCCTAGTTGGCTTTCCCTTGTTAGTCGGGAGTTTCAATCCCACCGGCTAGATGCTTGTGTCTTTTTTGTACCACATTATTTGTGTGAATAAATGTATTCATTTTTATTCTTTATTGTTCTACATTTCATTCTTAGATCCAAGCGCACGAGAAGGCCGACGTCACAACGTGCTCGCCGAAGAGAATGTCCACGTCGGTTTGATGTTCGGCTCAAAAGCCCTCATTCAGCTGTTGATCAATCCTTTTGTTGGACCAATGACAAACAAGTTTGTGAAAATAAGGAGCTGTCCAATAAGGAGCTGTTCTTGAATAGAATTGGCTACACGATGCCGATGTTCATGGGTTTCGTGATCATGTTTTTGTCGACATTGATGTTCGCGTTTGGTTCCTCGTATGGGACATTGTGGCTGGCGAGAGCTTTACAGGGTATCGGTTCTGCGTGTACCTCGACTTCAGGTAAAATTGTTGAATATTTTACATAATATTGGGTTGTTGAATTGAAAACTGCGGGACTTTGAACTAAAATTTATTCAACATAAAACCATCAATTCATTCCAAACAATTTCCATTATTATTGACGACTTCTGCCCATTTTACAGGCAATTTGCGGATTCCTCTTTCGTAGTAGGATTTTGGTTTGTGTGTGAGACAAGTGTGAGACTCAAAAATGGAGGACTGGAGATGGAGACTGGAGATCCCAGTTTGAGCACTTTCTTCAAAAGAAACCCATTTTGGTGTCAATAGAAAAGTTGTAGAGAATCAAAAATTAGGCTTATAGCCAAATTTCCAAAAAGATCCACTTAGTAGTTTCGCTTAAAATGCAAGTTTTGTTGCAAGTTTTGTTGCCAGTTTTGTGAAAATTCGTAAATTTTGCATTTCTTCCAAACCAGTTTTTGAATCGTTCTGAAAACTTGGATATAAGCTTTATTTTTGATTCTCTACAACTTTTCCATTGACACCAAAATGGGTTTCTTTTGAAGAAAGTGCTCAAACTGTCACATATGACAATAGGCCGCAGTTTTCAATTCATCAACCAAGTATATTGACTATTTTAACTGATGCAGAATGAAATTACACATCGAATGACACCAAAAACAACTTAAAATATAATATCCATGCAAAATGAAATATTGATCAAAATACGGCTGAAAAAATGCCCATACAGTAAGGCAGACAGAAAGACAGACAGAAAGACAGACAGATACCGTATAATACAGTATAATATTGTACTATTTAACTATTAAGAAGTTTTTTTATTGATTTTAGGCATGGGAATGTTGGCTCAAGCGTATCCAGACGACGCCGAGCGTGGAAGTGCTATTGGGATTGCGCTCGGTGGATTGGCTTTAGGTTTGTTTAACTGATTCGTCTAAAACTACTAACTAGTTTAGATTGAATTATTAAATTCAATAAATAAAGTAAAACATTGTCAGTGTCCCCCGTGATTAATTAACTTTGCAAATTCAAAAAAAACAAAAGAACAAGGTAAAGCAGCGGATTCGAACTCGAACTAGAGAGGCTTTGCTTTGTATTCTAACCCACTGCCACTTGGCCACTACTCCTTAAAGGCTCTGGGGAATCTGGCCATCAATGCTTTAAAAGTCTCTGCGCAATAAATTCGGAGTGAGTTTTAAAATCCCATACAAAACTTTGCATGCTTATCACTTTTGACAGAATGCTTCATAGTAGAAACGGAAAATAGATTCGGAATCAGCGTTGAATTATGCATCGAATGGCAAATGTCACTACACCCAGTTTACATTCCCTTGTCAGTAGTGCAAAGTATCCGCTGAGCTAATTGCTAATTGATTAAAGCTAATTGCTTACTAGTAAGGTCAACTTCGGCTTTAGGGTTACTCTAGCCCAAGATTACTGTATGCTTAGTATACAGTAATCTATTAATCTATTGAATGTCTAGAAAGCATCGGTTTTTTGTGAGGATTTTGAAAGATCTCTATGCGCATTGTGGTGCTTTCCGGGTTCACTAGGAAGACTAGCTTGAGAAGAAAGGCTTGTTAACAAAGCTTTACTAACAAAGCTTTACTAACAAAGCTTTATTAACAAAGTTTACTGTATACTTATCAACATCTATATCTCTGAAACAAAGCTATGTTTTCAGGTGTTCTGGTGGGTCCACCGTACGGAGGAGTACTCTACGAGTGGGCGGGCAAGCCACTTCCCTTCATCCTGCTCGCCCTCTTGGCACTATTTGATGGAAGTAAGCTTTGAAATATTATTTACAAATAAAATCGTACAATTTTTCCATCTTAGGCTTGCAATTCCTCGTTCTTCAACCAAAAATTGATCGCAGTGAGCCCGAGGGATCATCGATAAAACAACTCGCGAAGGATCCGTTCATCATCGTAGCTGCTGGTAATCTAAATAGAAAATAGATTATGATAAAAATATTAGAATATATTAGAATACAAGAAAATCAAGAAAATCATTAAAAATCCTAGAATATTTAAGTTGCCGAATTGAAAACTGCGGGACTTTGAACGAAAATTTATCCAACATAAAACCATCAATTCATTCCAAATAGTTTCCATTATTATTGACGACTTCTGCCGATTTTAAAGGCAATTTGTGGATTCCTCTTTCGTCGTAGGATTTTGGTTTGTGTGTGAGACAAGTGTGAGACTCAAGAATGGAGGACTGGAGATGGAGACTGGAGATCCCAGTTTGAGCACTTTCTTCAAAAGAAACCCATTTTGGTGTCAATAGAAAAGTTGTAGAGAATCAAAAATTAGGCTTATAGCCAAATTTCCAAAAAGATCCACTTAGTAGTTTCGCTTAAAATGCAAGTTTTGTTGCAAGTTTTGTTGCCAGTTTTGTGAAAATTCGTCAATTTTGCATTTCTTCCAAACCAGTTTTTGAATCGTTCTGAAAACTTAGATATAAGCTTTATTTTTGATTCTCTACAACTTTTCCATTGACACCAAAATGGGTTTCTTTTGAAGAAAGTGCTCAAACTGTCACATATGACAATAGCCGGCAGTTTTCAATTCATCAACCCAGTATATTGACTATTTTAACTATCATTTGATGCAGAATGAAATTACGCATCGAATGACACCAAAAACAACTTAAAATATAATATTCATGCAAAATGAAATATTGAGCAAAATGCGGCCGAAAAAATGCCCATACAGTAAGGCAGACAGAAAGACAGACAGATACCGTAACCCCCCCCCCCCCTCCCTCCCCTCCCCCTCATTTTCCGCCATTTCATTTCCCCTACAACTTTTCCATTGACACCAAAATGGGTTTCTTTTGAAGAAAGTGCTCAAACTGTCACATATGACAATAGCCGGCAGTTTTCAATTCACAAGCCCAATATTTTGCCTAATAAGTTCATCTATTTCCTTTTGCTTTTCAATGCGATCAAAAAAATGACAAAAGAAGGCCATAAATTCCTTTTTAGCATAGTATTCAATAATATTATAAATATTTTCTTAATATCCAAATTCTAGGAGCTATCACCATTGGCAATTTGGGGATTGCAATGCTTGAGCCATCGCTTCCCTTGTGGATGATGGAGAGCTGGCAAGCCGGATCGTTTGAGAGAGGTTAGATTGATTTTTATTGAAATTTTATAAATCTAAGATAATCATATCTAATAAAGTATATAAATTTGCATAAATTTGCACAATTTAACTATTGCAGGCATCGCTTTCTTGCCCGCTTCGATCTCTTACCTCATCGGGACAAACATTTTCGGGCCTTTGGCCCACAAGATGGGAAGGTTTGCGGAGAATGAAGAGAAAAACTTGTTGAACAAGTATAAAGATGAAATTTAGATGGCTATCAGCGTTTATTGGCTTGGTGGTGATTGGTTTCTGTCTATTGTTGATCCCATCGGCTACTTCGGTGGGCGGACTTATTATCCCGCACTTCTGCATGGGTTTCTCAATAGGTAAGCGCACTTGGAGTTGAAATCATTTCGAGTATATGAACTTTGATAAAGTTTCCATGAGGGTAGCGGTAGAATAAAATCGGGATGTGGTTTCTAAAATTGATATACGTGTGTATGTTTACACGTATTTGAAAGATGTAAGTGGACTTTCCCTGCCACTGACACAACGCGCAACTGGCCTCAACACCTTCAAGGTATGAGGGGAGTTTGTCGACCTGTCCTGTCGAATAATCGCCTTGTCTTGCACTAAAAAAACAAAAAACACCAGCGGAACCGAACCCGCGTCCTGCACGCCAGAGGCTGACCCACTATCCACTAGGCCATCGGTGCCAATAACCCCGTGATTGAAAAGCGGGCTTTAAAGCTTATCTTCGGGCAAAAAAAGAAAAAAATTGAAATTTCAAAGATAAACTCTTTAAAGGCCCATTTTTAATCACGGGGATAAAGGGGCTGGTGGCCTAGTGGATAGTGGGAAGGCCTCTCGCTTGCAAGATGAGGGTTCGGGCCCGCTCTCGGTTTTTTTTCTTCGTTCTTTTCTATTTTCTGAAAGTTCTTTTCAAGGGCTACACAATGGTAATATTAATATTTAGAAATACGGTAAAGACAACGGAGTTACAGACGTGCGAAAGTGACGATCTTTTTTCAAATATCGTATTTCATTGTCCAGTAGTGTACAATTAGCTTGATTAGCTTGATGATGTGGGCTTTCGGGAACTGTCCGAAACTGTACTCAAAATCATTCCCAACAATTCACGATTCATTCTCATTCATTCTCAACATTCAAGGTATGATCGACGCCTCAATGTTCCCATTGATGGGCTATTTGGTGGATATTCGACATGTCGGCGTTTACGGAAGCATTTACGCCATTGCTGATGCGGCTTTCTGTTTCGCTTTCGCGTTAGGTCCTTTCTGTTCGGGGCCTCTAGTGAGATCGGTTGGATTCCCGACGTGAGTTTTTGAAGAGTTTTAAAGAGATCCAATCATTTTGTGTCTTTTTCGAGCTCACAGTAAGCCTATAATACAGTGCGTTTCATAAGGTATCTCGGGCTTCAATTTGACCTTTAAAACATGCTCTTTTCAATGAAAAAAAGCTAATTCAATGAGAAAAAAACTAATTCAATAGCTTTTCCCCAAAACTAATCCAATAGCTTTTCCGCATCTCTCTAAAACTTTATTTTTCGGATTGTCAAAAGAATTAGGGAAAGAATTGTATTTATTGTAAACTGGGTAAAAAGTAGAGCAAGGATACGGTAGGTTTTGAAGGTTTTGAAGCTTTGAGCTTTGAAGCTGTTGAAGCTGTTGAAGCTGTTGAAGCTGTTGAAGCTTTTGAAGCTTTGAGCTTTGAGCTTTGAAGCTTTGAGCTTTGAGCTTTGAGCTTTGAAGCTTTGAAGCTTTGAGCTTTGAAGCTTTTGAAGCTTTGTTGTGCTTTAGAAAGTCAATTACTTGAAGGTGAAGCTTTGGTTATTGATACTTCTGTTTTACAGTATGATTTACTTCTGTTTTACAGCATGATGTACCTGATCGCAATCATCAATTTCATCTACGCTCCATTGATGTTCTTGTTGAGAGATCCGCCACCAATAAAGCGGGAAAATGAGGTAAATGAGGTAAATGAATGGCTGCTGTTTTTTTTGGTAACAAGAAACTCAGTTAGTTCAGCTTTAAAACCCATTTCTATGCCCTCAATCTTGTTTTTAGTTTGAGAATTTGATTGAGATATTCAGGTAAGAGAAAAGCAATCATTTCAAGATTTCGATTCAAAAAGGAACCTATTTTTTTAAAAGCTTTCGTTTGCACGCAAGATTTTTGATTGAATGCAAACGATCAATCGATTCCAAAAGCCTTTTACACCAGACAAGTATGCCAGGTCGCTTACGCGGTCACGCAAAGAACGCCGCGCCAATACAGAGATTTCTCTTTTGCTTTGCCCAAAATAAAGATATTAAGCTGTAAATTTGTACCCTGGGGTTTTCGGGGACGGGGAATCGATTGGAGCTATTCATTTTCTTGAGTTTAGCAAGGGGAGCTCGGGATCGAGACCTTCTAGACACTTCTCTCAACAAATCTCTATCAGAAAAGGAAATTCAGTAGAAAATATCTCAGTAACCTACTTATGCTCATAATATTAATAATATTATATTATTATATCAAGCAAAAAGTCTTCAGAGTCCCTAATTAGCCAAGTATACTTCTTAACAAACTTTGAGATGTTTTAACAAGTCTAACAACTTGTTTTACTCAGTTGACGCAGAAGATTCCATAGATAGACCCGGGAGAATGCGGGTGTAGATAGCGTGAATCGATTCGCGATCTTAAACCTTACAAATTTAAGCTCAATATCTTGTTTTTACGCTATCTTCAAAGCAAAAGAGAAATCCTGTAAATGACTGTCGAAGTGTCCTTTGTGTGCGCTCACAATCGCTCTCCATCTGGCACACGCTGCCAATATATAGGTATTCTCCTTTCAAATGCGCTAAACTATCAAAACCCCTCTCCCGAGTTGCCAAAAACTGCCGAAAGCTGGCAAGGAACTGCCAAAAAATGCCAAAAAGTGCCAAAAACTGCCGAAAATTCACAGCTGAAGATATTCTGCCATCCAAGGTTATTACAAACAACTGTAAGCTAGGCCAAACCAAGCAAGACAATGCTAGAGAAGCCAGGGCCTGTCTTCCAATCTGATTCAAATCTTGCCCCATCCCAGGCCTGGATCTTGATCAAGATTTTGATTGAATGTTGATTTTTTTGTGTTGTTTATCCATTCTGAAGCCAGAAACCAGAAATTTTCAAACAATTTTTCAGGCAAGCGCCGTTTCAAACGGAGTAAACGGGGTGCCGAGTGTCGGCGCTGGAGGGGATCATTATGAGAAAATCGAGGGATCTGATGTTGTCCGAATGCAAGGGTATCAATATGAATACTGATCTTGAGTCTTGAGTCTTGAGGCTTGAGTCTTGAGGCTTGAGGCTTGAGCCTTGAGGCTTGAGTCTTGAGGCTTGAGTCTTGAGTCTTGAGGCTTGAGTCTTGAGTCTTGAGGCTTGAGGCTTGAGTCTTGAGGCTTGAGGCTTGAGCCTTGAGGCTTGAGTCTTGAGTCTTGAGTCTTGAGGCTTGAGCACTTTCGTTCATTCACTGAGTACTTATCAGTTCTATGAGATGCCAAATAAAAGTCAAATTGAAGCACTTTAGCTTGTCTTCTGGCTTTGTCTTGTGCTTTGTGCTCAAATTTGGAAACCCCTACTTTCTAGCGCATATCTTTTCCTGCAGTGTCCCAAGGAAAGACAGGGATTCAGTGGACCAGATGTGGGTGCATTTCTGTGCACAAAGTACAGTCATCATAGCTGATAAGTAGTCAAGATTCGAAGCTAAATTTGCAACTTTCTCTTCAAATCCGTTCCACTTTTCCATTGCTTAGCTCTCTTGTTTATTGTCGTTTTGTTTATTTTAGCGTTTTCTACATTTTAGCTTATTCTATATTGTAGAATTTTACAAATTATCGTCTCGCAGTTTTTTTTGGCTATATCTTGGCAGGTTTTAAGCACTCTGATATGGTTTATTTGAATATTTTCTGATTAAAAAAGCTTAAAACAAATGTTATTCAACATGTTTTTATGTTTTTATGAGCTCTAGATGAAAAAAAAAAACGGCGTTTTCGGGGAATTTCTCTTGAAAGCTGCCAAAAAATTTCATCGATTAAAGTTGGCTCTCGGAGAATTGAAAGGGAACACTTAAAATTCACTTAAATGACTTAAAAATCACTTAAAATTACTCAAAATGAATTCAAATAACTCGAAATCAACTCAAAAATCACTTAAAAATGACTTGTTTGTCACTCGTTTTTACTTTTGAGCTAATTCTTTTGACTTTTGAGCTAATTCTCCGAGAATGCCACGAATCCGACAAAAGCCGATGATCAGAATGCAATTGTGCGCCATCCTGTGCTACTTTTAGACTTGTCTGACCCTTTTTGAGTTGGCTCTCGGAGAATTGAAAGGGAACACTTAAAATTCACTTAAATGACTTAAAAATCACTTAAAATTACTCAAAATGAATTCAAATAACTCGAAATCAACTCAAAAATCACTTAAAAATGACTTGTTTGTCAATCCGTTTTTACGGTACCCCCGTCCCCCCCTCCCCTCCCATTCTCGCAGTCTCATGCCTGTCCTCGGATTTTTTGAGAGAAATCCAAACACCCCGGCGCCCTTTCTTGATCTTTTCAAATAAGTTTTCACAGAAAAGAGCTACTTTTCTGCACAAAGCCTAAATTTATGAAAAGAAGTGAAAAAAAGCCGATTTCATTTTGAAAATTAATTATTAGGTTGATGCAAAAGTCTTTTTCATTTTTTTCGTATTTCCGTTAAAAAGTAACAAATGCACCAATTGAACAACGGTTTATTGCATTCGAAAGGCCAATTATTTTTCTGCAAAATGACATTAAAACGAGTTTAAAATGTCTTATGTCTAGATTTTTTTGAGAGCCTGAAGTCGGGTAGTCAAAAAAGGCGACGGCTCGATGATGCATTTTAGACGCTTTAGCTAAGGAAACCAATCTTGATGTTAATAAATAAAAGATAGAGCACAAAAAGTTAGATATTTTTCCAGATTTTCAGAGAAATTGATTCAGCCAATTTCTTTATAGAGATTTTTATAGATTTTTATGAAAAACCCGTTTTCACTCTCGAATTTGCTTGAAAGTGAACCCAAATTGACTTAAAAAGATGGGAAATTGAACAATAAACACTTTTCATTCAGAGCAAACCATAGGTTAATTGATGACTTTGTTATTTTTCAAAAGAAGTACGAAAAAAATGAAAAAGACTTTTGCATCAACCTAATAGAAAGAGCTTAAATAATGCTTATCAAGGGTTTTTTTTAGCTTATCGTCTAAACCTTTAATGGAGATCTCAAAAAACATTCTACAATATAAAGAAATAAAGAAATAAAGAAATCTCTACAGTAACTCGATAGAAAATCATTGCAATTCTAATATTAAAAAGGAATTAAACCGATTTACAGCCAAGATATAGCCCAAAAAATTGTGAAATTTGAGGTTTACTCTGTAATTTTTTTTTGTCTATCTCGCGATTTTTGTTTTTAAGTGATTTTCCACTAGTCTTCTAACGTTTTCTAATAAATGTATACTTTAAAAAACTACCGTAATCTTCAGGTTCTCCAGTTTATTCAGTTTCAATCTCATTTGATGAGGAAAACCTGTTTAAATCAGTTTTAATGAAAGAAAAACGGTGATTTGAATGAAAAGCTCGATCAAAATGGACTAAATCTGGAAAGATTACGGTCGTTTTTCAAATTATCCACCTTTTCGATGGATTACTAACGAGAAACAGACGCTAGAAACGATTCTGCGCAAACGCAAGAGATCTAGTGAACGAGTCGAAGTGGAAGCCCGTACACTCGATCACTTGCCTTGCAGTGCAAACGCAAGAGATTCTAGTGAACGAGTTGAAGCGAAAACCCGTACACTCGATCACTTGCCTTGCAGTGCAAACGCAAGAGATCTAGTGAACGAGTCGAAGTGGAAGCCCGTACACTCGATCACTTGCCTTTCAGCGCAAACGCAAGAGATCTAGTGAACGAGTCGAAGCGAAAACCCGTACACTCGATCACTTGCCTTTCAGCGTTCGAGCTTTAGCCTATTTATTTTCGGATTTTACTATACTATGTTTACTGTACTATGTTTACTGTACTATGTTTACTGTACTATGCTTTTTCCTAGTTATGTAAATGATTTAGTCATTTAGTATCGTTTTTCCTACTTTCCGCCTAAAAGTAAACCCAAATGAATTCAAGAAATTAAAAGAAATCGAATCCCAAAGTAAAACCCCAAAACAATCCCAACAAATGAGCGATTTCGAGGCAATCTGACTATATAGTGACTACCATTCGATGCAGAATAAAATTGCGCGTCGAATGATACCAAAATCAACTCAAAATATAATATCCACGTAAAGTTGTTGGCTAAAAACGTAAACCCGGCTCATTATGGACCGGACTTAACCGTTTGCTGCATAACTTTGCATGGATATCACATTTTGAGTTGGTTTTGGTATCATTCGACGGGTAATTTTATTCTGCATCTTCAGAAATCTTCAGAAATCTTCAGAAATCTTCAGAAATCTTCAGAAATTTCAACTTTTCAATGCTAGTTTATTTTTTAGGAATAAATCGTGAAAGCTTTTGAATTAAAACAGCAAAAAAACTCTTTCAAAAGATTATCTGTATCAAACAGTGATGTACACAAACAGTTGAAGTGTTTAAGCCAGTTGAAGTAAGCCAGTTGAAGTGTTTCAGCTCAGTTGGAGCGAGCTGTGCTTTGGCACAGGGCTTACCCTCTACCTCAACCCTCTATTGAACTGTATCCGAGATCACAGCTTTTTAATATTGAAATATTGGGTTGGTGAATTGAAAACTGCGGGACTTTGAACTAAAATTTATTCAACATAAAACCATCAATTCATTCGAAAGAATTTCCATTATTATTGACGACTTCTACCCATTTTACAGACAATTTGCGGATTTCTCTTTCGTAGTAGGATTTTGGTTTGTGTGTGAGACAAGTGTGAGACTCAAAAATGGAGGACTGGAGATGGAGACTGGCGATCCCAGTTTGAGCACTTTCTTCAAAAGAAACCCATTTTGGTGTCAATAGAAAAGTTGTAGAGAATCCAAAATTAGGCTTATAGCCAAATTTCCAAAAAGATACACTTAGTAGTTTCGCTTAAAATGCAAGTTTTGTGAAAATTCGTAAATTTCGCATTTCTTGAAACCCAGTTTTTGAATCGTTCTGAAAACTTGGATATAAGCTTTATTTTTGATTCTCTACAACTTTTCCATTGACACCAAAATGGGTTTCTTTTGAAGAAAGTGATTAAACTTTCACATATGACAATAGCCGGCAGTTTTCAATTCATCAACCCAATATATTGACTATTTTAACTGATGCAGAATGAAATTACACATCGAATGACACCAAAAACAACTTAAAATATAATATCCATGCAAAATGAAATATTGATCAAAATACGGCTGAAAAAATGCCCATACAGTAAGGCAGACAGAAAGACAGACAGAAAGACAGACAGATACCGTAACCCGCCCCCTCCCCTCCCCTCCCCCTCATTTTCGCCATTTCATTTCCCCTACAACTTTTGACACCAAAATGGGTTTCTTTTGAAGAAAGTGCTCAAACTGTCACATATGACAATAGCCGGCTGTTTTCAATTCACCAACCCAATATTTCCTTTTGGTTTTCAATGCCATCAAAAAATGACACTAAAGAAGGCCATAAATTCCTTTTTAGTATAGTATCCAATAATATTATAAACAGTTTTCAATTCACCAACCCAATACCATTCTTACACAATAACTTACACTTTAATTATTCCATAAAATTGTTTATCCAAAAGTGTAAATCAAATTTCTCACTGTAAATCTCTTCCCGGATTTTTGCACATTCAGCAAAAGCGGATTCGTTGATTAAACTAGAGATATTCCCTGGTTAAACTAGAGATATGCTGCTCAAATTCCATTTTCGATTAGAAATAGAGACGCGATTTTTTTCTTGTGTTTTTGATCTCCATGTACACTGAATATTCTATCAGAGTGAAAGAATGGGAAAAAAATGCCAATGGGAGTGAAGAGAAATGGAAGAAATGATAAGAAAAAAGGGGTTACCGTGTCGAGTGATTGCCTGGCTGATTGCTTGTGATCACTTTGGCTCGTCGCCTTTTCAAACTCATAAATTATGAGAGTCGAAGTGATCGCTTTCGCACTTTTCGCTGTGGTGAGTGATTTTTTTTGAAAAACGATCATTTACTATTAGTCTTAGCCAGTAGATTTACTATTCCCTGAGTCTGAGGCTAAGATTGGACTACAATAGGCTTTATGAAGCTACCGTAACCGA